CAAGTATTCTGTCTTGGTCCTGCTCAACTTGAAACCCTTAGATTCTAGAGTATGTCTCCAGACCTCCAGCCTTTCGTTAACGCCACCTCGCGTCTCATCAATCAGGACTATGTCGTCCGCAAATAACAAGCACCAAGGCACCTCCCCTTGGATGTGACGCGTCAAAGAATCCATCGCCAGGGAAAACAAAAACGGGCTGAGTGTTGATCCCCGATGCAACCCCATCTCAACCGAAAAGTAGTTAGAGTCTCCTCCTGCTGTCCTTACCCGTGTCTTAGCCCCATCATACATGTCCTGGATCACTCTAATATATGCTACAGGCACACCTCCCGCCTCCAAACATCTCCTGTTCCAATTTATGTAAGGAACTTTCCCTTTTGGACCTTGGGACAGCCCCAAAGAGAATATAGCTACTTCATCGGGCTTACAGATTTTTAGGGTAAGTCGTATTTGCATTCTGATTCTGAGAAAGGGGTAAAGCTTTGAACACTAATAGGAATACTATATGGGACAACATGTTCTTACTGGCATGATGCTTATAACTTAAATACATGGAGAACAAAAATGAAGGCAAAAACTTAACTGCGTATTTATTTGACAACTCTTTGGGTGTTATGCAGGCAAACAGGCATACTATTATTCTCATGCAAACATCTCAGAATAGAGCAACTCGCACTTTCATGGATTACGAATCCATAAGTCAAGCAATGGATGGTAAATGTTATTACACTACTATAACTGCATGCACTCTTGAGATTTACTCTTTCTGGATTACCTATGAAATTCCTTTAAGATTATCTTTGTTTTTTTTCCGTGAATGTAGGCAAACAGAAATATGGCTTGAACCTAGGAAAATATGTAAATCACAAACCTATTTGTCAATCACAGATTTATATCAGCAGCTTGAAATATGTTACTAGAATTCAACATATTTAAGCAATCTACATGTAGTCCTTGCAAACAATTTCATTCTGTACCATTATCTATAGGAGAAAATCCTTCTCTCTTACAAAACTTCGACAAATGCTTATTCTGTACCTTCTTATCAACCTTCAGCGAACATTTTTTTTTTGATGATGGACCTTCAACGAACATTGGTCTGACTAATTCAAGTATGTTAATCTTAACTTCCCATTTTGTTCATCACACCTTTAGAATTATGGACAAGAGCTTCTGTGAGAGTAAATATGTTGGACAAGAACTAGGATGCATAAAGGAAGGAAGGCTATCTTTTGATTTCCAGTTCTTTTGGTTTCCAGTTTAAGGAAATCAAGGCAAATATAGAATCACTCTTATGATGGGATTGGATAGTAGAAAGGAACTGGGACCTGTATGGACTTACATTTTAGGGACAAGTAGGATCATTATGTCATGGGAAGGGCCTTCTTAAATCTCCCTAAGATTGCATTCTTTTTCTTTTGCATTATAGGTGTGCTATTATAGACCCAGTGACAAGCAAGAAACTTCATGGTTCTGGAGTTAGTTCTGGTAGAATTCCCTCTGTGCCAATTTGTTTGATGCGGTTCAGATTTCGAAAGTCAACCGTGAATTGGGACATAGAATCTTTAAGTTTTTTGAAATAAGATTTACGTATTTCGAAACTACATAAAAGGTACTTCAAGTTGTGATAATTGACAATTCAAAATATTTGGAAGGCATATGAAAAAATTATAGTCAAAGAGAAGTTTGTTTGACTCTTGAAATCCAAACTGCATCAAACAAATTGGGACGGATGGAGTATCTAGTAATGACCTAATAGTAAGGTGAAGTATCTAGAAAAAAAAAAGACTTGGTGTTGGTTGACTTACACATTTACTTACTAGTTTTCTTGTTGCCATGGATCTGTGGGTACATTCAGTGGCTGGGTTCATATTTCAAGCTTTGATGATTAAATGCTCAAAGTTTTCTCAAGTACTAGTACTTGAGAAGTCAGTTATTCATGAGTTGTCTTGATCCCAGGAAGCATTGGGCTTCGAAGTTGTTATCTTGACTAACAAGATTTCATCTTGTAAGCATAACTTGGAATAACCATCTTTTGTCGCTCTCATCTTTCTATCAATCAATTACACCTCAATCTCAAACTGGTTGAGGTTTGCTATATGAATATAACCTAGAGAATCAATCATGACTATTTTTTACGCGAACAGTGTGAACACTACCTACCCTAACCCTTCTTTATCTTTGCTTGGAACTGGCAACGTAAAGCTCACTAGGCATAGTTCTCTGTCATCTCTCTAATTTCCTTTTTTCCTTTGCTACCAGTTTTACTCTTATTATTCACTTGCTTCAGTGCATGTCGTCATCATCCCCATTGATGCTTTCCTTTTACTCATTCCCGTCTTCTGATATTGTCAAGAATCGAACTGAACTAGTTAGTCTCGGGATGTTCTTGCATTTAATTGACTCATGACCCCTCAATGACAGTCCATATCGCTATTAGAAGTTTATTCTGAGGCACTACATAGAGTTGTGAGATCATATGATATTCAGGACAGTGCTCTTTCCCCTAGCAATTCAGGTTTATACTTTGATCCTTTAAGCCATAGGAAGCTACCAAGCTGCAATTGAGTAAGGGCAGCCCGGTGCACAAAGCATCTTCATTTACTCAAGCTGCAATTGATATTATCATAAAACTTGAGAGGTACTTAAGTTGAAAGGAGAATCTTGTTACGAAATTGAAGTACCTCATGTAGAGAAGATTGTCACCCATTTTATCTCAAGGAGTGATATGGACAGGATTCACCTAACATGATGTTAAAAAACCCTAGGCTGAGTTGGTCTAGAACTCCGAATTCCGACCGGCCGCCCATACTCACCCGTCCCTTAACCCTCTCTCTCCACCGTAGTTTTCTCCTCCCCTCTCAAGCAGTTTTCAGGTGAAGTGAATATCAATAAAACCAACTTCATAGCCAAAAATTGGAAAAGAATAGGTCGAATAGTAGCAAAGTTCAAATCTTGCAGCATTCTATTATATGAAGTAAAGATGGGGGAGGATAGTGGGATGGTGTTATTTGATGGGAGGATAATGAGATGTTATTATTTGATGGGAGAGAATCTTGTTAGCAATGGTTTACTTGCATATTTCATATTTGTCAAATACTCATTTTCTTGTGGGATTTAAATGATTTATAAGAGGGGGAGTGGTGTCGGCGGAATGCTTGCTGAAGTTCTTACTTTTTTCTTTCTTGCTCCTAATTGTCTTTCCCTGGCTAGGAAAAGGGAGGCACATAAATTGATTATTCTGGTTGTCGATGGAGGAACAAAACAAAATCTTCAGGGGCAGAAGACATTTTCTTTTTACGTTTTTGCATAAAGTCGTTACCATCTGCATGTGATTTAAGTTTCAATGTTCTTCTGTTCTCTTCTGCTATAGCCCTCTATTAAAATATTTTTCCCTGCAGGGATTTGTGCTTTGTATGAGAGGAAACTCAAGGAATTGAACCCAGCCATCAGAGAAATTACTTATGACATTTCAGATCTTTACAATTTCATAGATGGCCTTGCTGATATGAGTGCACTAGTGTAAATCTCTCTCTCTCTCTCTCTCTCTCTCTCTCTCTCACACACACACACACACAGAGCCTACCCATCCACTTCTCAATAGAATCCCAAGCCAGAGAAATATACAAGTGTTACACCTTGTGTCATTTAGACAGCAAAAGCGTATATGAACATGTAAATATGGCTCCTGAGAGCAGGTCTATGCATGCTACTCTTATTTTGAACCAAAATTTTCAGTTCATCTCAATGGTTCTGAAACACACACAGATGTCATAAGCATGTTTTCTTTAGACCTCTCGGGTATCTGTACTTCTGTTTATTAACCGGATGAACTGTGACGTGCACATCAAATGATTGGCCCCTGGTACATCATACCATGGACATGATTCTTAGCACTCAATATGCTGTTGAAATGTATTTAATTCCAGCATTCCTTTATAATTTGCTTGGTACTGAGGCGTAGTTATTGTTGTTGTTGTTGATTCTTTTATAACTTTGCAGGTATGATCACTCACTCCAGGCTTACCTTCCCTATGACCGACAATGGATAAAACAGAAAACATTGCAACACCTGAAAAGGCTGGCATCACATTGACTATTGTTTAGAGGCTAGTTTATATCTATCATATTCAGTTAATTTCCTATTGCCTTTTATGAAGAAAAGAGCCATGAACCGAAGGGTCAAGAGTCTGGAGTAAGAATCTCTTACAATGGGAACGCTATGTATGATATGCTTATTTTCCCTGAAATCCAAATCCTATCTGCAAAATTTCAAGTGGAAACCAACTGTTGTCGGAACAGCATGCTGTACTGGCCTTGCTATTTAAATCACGGATGTATAATTTGCATAGTTCTGTAAATTGTATGATCTTTTTGAACGTAATAGTGATTTTATGAAACTTCATGTACTTGTCAGCTACTTTTAGTGGATATATATACAAGTTTATCTATGATAAATGAGTCTGGTGTCTTGTCAATATATTACTTGATCAAATAGGTGGGCAACTGGGCATGAGCAAGCCTTGGTTGGACTTAAAGACACCTTATTAAGAAAAGGAAGCCCAAAAGCTATCTGAGTTGGATAGGTGTTGCCCAATTCGTTGGTTTTTGCTTAACTTTAGCATCCTTAATCTGTTCAGTGTCTTGACTAGTTTCTTCGTACTAGGAGTTTGTCCCATTCCCGAGGCTGGAAGCCGAGACCTCTGGTTAAAGGTAGAGTAAGCTCGTCCATCTCACCACTTTGTGGTGGTGTCTAAATTCTTTGGTTATTTGTATTTTGGTTTTTCTTTTTCTTTAATTTGTAATGCCATCCATCAAAATCATGTATCTATTGCTAGTGCTTAGAAATAACAACGTCAAAGTTGAAGACATCCATGAATGTAAAATATACATCTTTCAATATCTTTTTTGCAAACATCAACTTCAACTCTATGGCCATGGGACACTAATGATGAACTATTATGCAATTTCTATTTACAGGTTTTAAAATCTTCAGCGAATAAAAATGTAAAATTGACAAAAAAGAATATTGAAATTGTTGGTATTACAAGTGATTGTTCACCAGCATAGGTACATAGAATCACTTTCTAAGAAATTCATGGATTTTTAACTTAGAGGACATGTAATTTCCCCTTCCTCCACCCACCCACCCAACTAAAAAAGGATTTATATTACACATACAAAAAGTTGTAAAGATTCTTTTCACTATTGGATTTGGTGCAGTTTAACCGATGTAAGAAAAATCTCTAAATTTCTTCTATGAATTTTCTAAGCATTCTGGTCCAGTTGTTGCAAGCTTGTTAACTAAAGCAAGTGCATTACTGGTCAAATAACTCACATTTGTGACTCTATTTAAGAGTAACTTAACTTGTTTTCTCCTCCTTTGGTCTTCAAATCCATCTAAACAAGTATCTTCATCAGTAAGTGCAGCACTTAGCCAAGTAGTCACATCTCCCATTTGGTCATTAAAAGTTTGAATACTAAGTTTTCTTAGCACACCAAGTGAGTTGTGAAGATTATCAAGTGCATCTTGAAAACATTCAACACAATCTAAAAGAGCAACTCTTCCTCTCCCTTTCAAGGAATTGTGTTTCTTCAACTTCGATAGGGATTGAGTGACACCCTTAGCTTGGCTTATTGTCACCGAGACCCCGGCCCGGGCCCACTTGCTAGGGTTGTTCTTGGCCGTTCTCGAGAATGATGCTAGCGAATGCATGCAGAGGTCCTGGTATCGAGTCACACTACATGCATCGCGAACATAACTTTCTCCTCCCTTACTCGAAGCCGTCGTCGAACAAATTAGTATAGTTACCCATGCTAAGACTAACATAAATTTCCAAGTCATGGATAAAAGTAAAGAGATTTGATTGAAGCAAATAAAAATTGGTAATATAAAAGCTTATATGAAGCCCCTTTTTAAAGAAATATGGTTTATGACTAACTAGGAAAGTAGGGCAGCTTTTATTTGGGTAGTTAGTTATGAAGCAAGAAGGTGATGAATACATTAAAAGAAGGTAACTGTCTTAGATAAGAGGGAATAGATCAGGAGAATAATGATGATCATGTAAAAGGGCCAAAAAGGCAGGTGAGGTTCACATTAATACAGAAGAAAAAGCTGTATATAACAACACTTTTTTGAAAACTAAGGAAAAGGAAGTGAAACTAAAGAAAATAAAGAAAAGATGAGATAAATCAAAATCTTCATCTTTTTACCAACAAGTGTGGTAAAATGGGTCGGATCCTTCCACCCTTAAGCAGAAGTCTTAGATTGAGTATTCATAATGGACAACTTCTTCTTGGTAGGAAGCATCTTACCACCTAAGTAGACCTATACGGCGCGAATCCTGATTAGTCAAGTTAATAGATTTCGAATGCCGAGTACCTAAAGTAAAAACAAAATCCTCATTTTTAACCGTTTGGTTACAGGAAATACTGTTCTTTTTCTACTTTACCTCCCCTTTTAACCAACAAAAAGAAACTATACTTTTCATTCTTTCCTCTTCTTTTCCTTTCCTTTTCCCTGTGGGTTCCAAACAACTTAGGGGGGAGTTCTTGAAAAGGCATTCATCTTTTTTTTTTTTTTTATATAAAAAAAATTAGAGCAAAAAGATAAGAAACTGTAAAAACTCCTGTAAAGTTAAAATATAGCAGGCAAAAAATAGAGCATCTTTTAGGTTTCATATATCACAATCCATTTCTGCAGTTTCAAGCTCTAAGCAAGAATTTACAAATGTGATAAGAATTACATCCAATATATAGAAAATTGAGCATTAGAAGAAAAATCACAAGCTGAACGTGTGAATCACATTGTTCGTATACGATCCACAAGAAATAAATGCTTTGCATGTTTTCAGACTGTAATTTCCATGTTCACATTTGTTATCAATGTGACAAAAACTTAAAAAGATACACAAAAATGAATCCTCTATCCAACAACTTTTACTATCTAAACTAAACTAACTAAAAAAATAATGGATGGTGCTTAAAACTCGTACCTCGTAACTATCTCTATAAGTATGGTGTTACTTCCATAAGAAGGAACTAGTTTTACTGAAAAAACGTGTATAATCCGCTATCTGGAATCCATGTTGTGAACCAGCGCGACAAGTTCAATATTTTCATTCTCAGTTGCTGGAGTTTCAATGTTTTCTTTTGAATCCGACACTTCATCAGGAAGGATAGAGGAGTTAGGATCACTTTTTGGAACCAAAAACAGCACAAAAAGTGGAGCGATTCTCAAGATGTTCCTTATCAAAATGGCGAGCCAGAGATTATCAAACTGTGTCCTTGTAACTTTAAAGACATGAAGCAAAAATCCACCTCCCCATCTTGATGTAAGAAGTCCAGCATTGTCGATTGACATGAGCAAGGCGAAAAATGTGCCTTCAATACCAGGAGGACAGAGCTTGGAACTTAGAACAAGAAGCGGCATCCACTTTAGTCGTCCAATCATTTGAGATACACTAGCGTCTATCGCCACAAAGAAATAATCGGGAATGCCAAATTTCAAATTTAAACGTAAGACCAGCAGCAAATCTAGCATTCCTGACAGACCAAGCAGTAACTGAGTCCAAAAGAGCAGGTCTCGGAAACAATAGTCTTTCAATCCATATTGGTACAGTATAGTCACCAACAGCGATCCAGCGGAGCCTACTGCTGATATATATCCGATACTTTCCTGCAGGAATAAAACGTTTACAAAATTACATTTCCATTGTTATCCCCAAAAGAGTACAAATAACTAATCTTAGTCTAATAATCCTTATTTGTTTTTGCCCTCATATCATTAATCTGGTATTGTTAGGTAGAGAGAGGATAGTCTAAGTTACAGCAGAACCTCTCGTGTGACGTCTCCCCACTATAATTAAAGTTTTACATGTTGGATATTTTGGAAATAAGTTACTCCGTCCATCCCAATTTATGGCGGTGTTTGACTCGGCATGGAGTTTAAGAAAGAAAGGAAGACTTTTGAAACTTGTGGTCTAAAACAAACCATAGATATTTGTGTGAGTGTAAATCAATTCATTAAGGGTAAAATAGGATGTTTAAAGCCAAATTATTCCTAAACAAGGAAGTATAACATTCTTTTTGGGACAGACTAAAAAGGAAAGTATGACATATAGATTGGGACAGATGGCGTATTAGTTTCCTTTAATTAACAGTAAGTTTAAGGAACTTATGATTCTACTATGTACTTGGCTTGATTAGAACGTGACATGTCTAGCAGTTATTCCACCTTCGAAAAATGTGGTCCTCCGTCTGAATCTGTTGCCCAGTAGAACATTCCTTCCTGGATATCTAAACTCAGTGCAAAGGACAAGTACATATAAAGACATGGTCGCCAAACTTCCGGGCATTTCAAAGTTTTCCACATAGCCTTGGCAGCATCAGTGAAGTTCTGGTTTACCTGAGGATGCATTAGGATTTGGGATAATTACATTTTTGGGCGCCAAAAAAAAAAAAAATTGCCCGCAAAGTGTATATGCTTTGTATATTAAGTACAAAATATACATATAAGATACATATACATAATCAGTGTATATGTGTCATATATTTGGGCTACAGCCTGTAATTATTTTGGGATGGCGGGATAAAAATGTAAAAAGCCCTTCGGATTATTAGAGACTGACCTATTCACTAAAAGTAGCCGGGAGAGGTGTAAGTACCTGTTGATAAGCAAAGTTGTATGTCTGAGGTTCCTTGAGCAAAACTCCAACCAAAAACACAAGCACAGCTGGTATGGACAGTAAGCCATACACCCCCTTTTATTCAGAAAAAAAAAGATTCAGAAGTAATCTACTATATTAAGATATTCACTAGACTATAATGAGAATATCATAAGTTGTTTAAAATTATGGATAGAAAGCTAACCATAGGGCCAAGTAAGTGAACTAAGGTACCACTTAAAGAAAATCCGACTAGAGCACCAATTGAGGAACTCAAGGAACATAAGCTTTGCATATCAGCTGCAAGGGAAGGATGAGAACCGCTGTTTTGTGCGACACATGCATCAACGGTCACGTCCGCAATTGCAACCCCAGCACTTCCTGCGGTCAAGGAGAGCAGTGCAAACACAATATGCAAGTTCTTGTGCAATGATAAGAACAGCATCGAGACAACTCCAAGAGAACCTGGAATCATTGAATTTCATGCTTTGATTGAAAGAACAGAACAAATTGCAAATATAAAATGGAATAATTTGACACCGAAAATATTCAGTTATTTTTTCGCTGAATTCTGTTATTCAATATAGATGTCTCCTTGTCAAGTACATAAAACTTCAGTAACAAGATATATGTCAAACTCCATGATCCTTCCTTCAAAAGACCGAATACTATGCACACATTGTTCTTGGCTGTCAACCATTTCCTAAGATCAAGAGACATTTCCAATTTTATCGTTCTAGGTAATGGCTGAGTGATTCAAAACAAACTACACGAAAAGAAAGAAGGAATTTGTTCTTAATAGGATGAAATGGAGTCATTTACATGGACTTGGAACCTCATAGCAGTCAACGTTTTTACCTATTTGTTTGCATCTTAAAGTAATTAGAATCATGGCACGGAGTTGAAACTCATATATCCAAATAGGATCTTCTAAACATATGGTATAAGTTCAACCACCTCCTATTGCACTGTTAGATGGCTAAACAGGTCTGGAGCATGTTTGTAAATTTGTGCATCAGCTGGTTTATGCCGAGGACATTAAAAGGTCTGTTTTGGAGCTAGACTGGAATGAGTTCGACAATGAGGATAGAAGATTTTGGCTCACCATTCCTTCCATTTTTGAGTTCTCCGGCTGGAAAGGAATTACAGGTGTTTGGAGCGCAAGCACAACCTGCTTATAGTATGAGACTTAAGTGTTTGTAATTTGGCTTTTGGTGTGACATGACGAATGTGTATGAGATAGAACCATGTTACGTTTTCTCAGCTCCCTGCATTTATAATAGGAACGTTGAATGTTTGCCTGTAACTACTCTGCACCCTCTTTCAGAATTTCGATGAATAAAGTACCATTTACTTGATTGATAAGCATGGTTAGCAGTCACATATAATTCCTTCTCCATCAAATAATTCATAGATGACTAAATTTTTTCTTCCTTTTGGTATTTAAGTAACTCGCGGGCATAAACTTCGCGGGTTATACAGTTGTGAAGTTAACCCAAGGTAACTGAATACCCAAGGTAACTGAATACTTTTGATGGATTGACTAGTGTTGGATACTTAGACCTGTCACTTCATTTAAGTTAATCCAATAAATTTCCGGGGCTTGGGCCACTTAAATATCTGGGGCTCAAAATTAGTACCTCAAGTCCTCAACATATAACATACAGCTTGAACTACATCTATCATTCCATTTTCATGCACGAGAGTAAAAGATGAGCACAACATAGAGAATTTGACAGAAGTAGACTCGATGGAACACATCGTGGTAAGGTGTAATATACTTCTTAAAGGAATGTGATTAAACTTATAATTTGTTTAGTACTTCTTTGACCAAATTGAATTACTTTAATGAAGATTCTTCATGCTGTTTGATGCTTTGCAATAACAAACCGTAAGATCCACATCATTTCATGTACTTTAATATTATTATGGTATTAGCTCCTAAAGTCGAAAACCTCAGATCAATGATTAGTGATTCAAAGTTCACTAGGCAATGGACAGTAAAACAGGAACTGATGAAGCACTGGCACTCTAACTCAGTTTTATCTTAGAGCAAAGATGGAAAACTTTCATGTTCTTTCAAAGGGGGGAAGAAATAAAGTTTGTTTTTCTTTTAGCATGACTGTAATGCCACCATAAAAATTGACTGTTGCTTCTCCACAGAACTCCACCCACAGAGTTTTATTACAAAACCACCCATGAAATCTTGCCCAACTTCTCAAATTTGATCTCCAGCGGCAGGCCTCCTATCAAAACCCATCTA